CCATTACAGTTCGACGAATGATACCTCCTGGAGTTCAGGCAGCTTGGTTATTGCGATAGTCCTTTGCCAGCACAGGTTGCTCTTTGAAGAATACTCGGATCTGAGCCACGCGTCTCCTGTTGAACTTGTTAAGCTTGGGAGACGTTTCTGATAAGAATTTGTTACTGATACGATTGTCACTGGCATGGTTTGAGCACGCCTACGATAACGGCTTGGAACTCTGGCCTATCGAACGGATTTGTGGTGACGTGGTGGCGCCGGGGCACGCGCTGGTGAGGCGGAAAATCGGTTAGCGTGAGAACGTTCTTAGCCACACGTATTCGGGTAAACGCTAAGCCCTCGTAACGTACGAGGCTGCGCACACGAGAGGGGGTGACGGTAGACGCGTACTATTGGCTTAGACGCGAACGCTGCCCGGCTATCGACGCACACGAAAATCACGTGACCGAACCGACTCCCAACTAACGGCGAAGAGAAAGCAAGACAAGTGGTCCTCTGAAGACTCTTTTGCGACCAACAAAGGGCGAATCACAGCCACTACTATGGGTCATTAAGTTAGTGAACATAGCTACCGTAACGGAGTGGTAGTTTGTAAAAGAACATTGTCAACATATGCGCAGTTGTGCCACGTCTCGGTGTGGCTGGAATATGCTGCTTTTGGGGGAGGAATTGAACTCCGCTTTCCACAGCCATTACGCCGGAGTTTGTGGCGCCTTTTTGCGGGGATATTTGACGGACCCGTAACAGAACTGCTGTTCTATGTTACGATTTCGGTTGAGGCTGTTGCTGTCAGTTGGTTTGAGCAGTTCAATGCTGTATTTCATCCTTGGCGGAAATTTATCTTGAGGCACCTGCGGATTTGGGGTTATCCTGTGGCCTAAGGGAGATGTCTCAAGGATCTCCGCCGTCGGTTCCTCGGCCTTCGCTTTCAGTAATGCTTTATTGATGGCGTCCGTGAATCGCGGTGCTAGGCCTTCCGACTGTGGATGCTATGGAGATGACCTCATGTGGGTTATGCCGTTTTTGCCTCGAAAATCGCCGAACTGTGCTGAGTTCCGTCGTCAGTCACTAGTGTGTCCGGATACCCCAAAGCGACTGAAAACCTGACGAAATGCAGTAATGATCGCTGAAGCAGTAGTCGATGGTATCTGCAGGATAAGGAAATTGGTCCTGCACAAT